GAGTCTGTCATGCAGGTACAAGTTCCAGGAGGTAAATTTGGAAATGGTTCAAAATGGTTGGAAGAGAACAAACCTAATTTCAATAATATATTTTTGTACTTTGGTACAAATCATGCGAATCAGCTTGACAGGACAATAAAAGCTGCAAGTGATCATATATGTGCTGTTGCAAAAAATTATGCAAAAAATGTGTTCCTCGTTGGCGTCCCACCTATATCAATGGTAAAAAATGGTGAAAATGGATCTATGAGAATAAATAAACTGTTGAAAGAAAGTGCAAAACGACAGGGAGTAGCATACGTTCCGTGCCCAAAAGAATTTTTAGAAAGGGAGGATATTACAGACTTATATGGAAATGACAAAGACATCTAAGTCAAAAAGGAGCAGACTTAATATCTGCCACAATTGCCGCAAAGATACCAGTAGCTAGAAAAAGACGCAAATGGGAGAGTCCAGATCCGCTGAAAGGATGTGAGAAAGAAAGAAAGAAAACAACATCTGGTGAGGAATCAACTGAAACAGAGAAATGAAGTTCTTTGTGTTATATACATACAGACTAAGTAAGTCAAAACTATGACAATAAACCTTACCAACTTGAAATTAATTTCAAGTCTAGTATTTGTTTTGCAACATATAATGTTAATGGACTAAGGGATTTGACGAAAAGGGAGGCGATATTTACTTTTTTGAAAAAACGGGGAGCTAATATAGTGTTTCTGCAAGAGACTCACTGTTCTAGTAAAATTGAAAATGAATCATGGTCAAAAGAGTGGGGTAGTCAATGTTTATGGACTGAATATTCCAATACCTGCAATGGGGTAGGGATCTTGATTTCTTCAAATTTAGATATATCTTTAGGAAATATAGATATAGATGAAAATGGCCAATATATTATATGTTCATTTGAATACGATAGTTTTTTAACAATAGTAGTGAACGTTTATGCTCCAAACCTTGATTCTCAAAGGGTCAAGTTGTTCAAACTTATATATGAAAAACTAGAAACCCTGAAAGCTTCAAATTATGCATACACATGCAATTTTATATGTGGTGGTGATTTTAATTGTATTTTGGAAGATAGGGATAGGGATTCCGTCAAATGTAGAAGAAATAATAATCCAAAAGTGAAAAAATGCTCCAAAATATTGTTACTAAATTGGATTTGATTGATATTTGGCGTGAAAGGCACTCATCCCTTTTACAATTTTCATTTCATCGCCCAGCAACCAGAAACGGGCAAAAACAATCCAAAAGCAGAATAGACAGATGGTATCTTTCGCGATTATATACTGTCAATGTAGAAAAAGTTGAAATAATTGCAGCAGCATTATCGGATCACTTACCTGTCTTTATGTGGACAGATATAGGCGAGAATATCAAACGTGGGAAAGGTTATTGGAAATTTAATAGCAACTTATTAAATTATGATTTATTTGTCACAGGGGTAGAAGTTATATCAAAGAAATGGCTAAAGCAATTAAATGAAGGACATGAAATTGATGTTCTTAAATTTTGGGAAAATTGTAAAAGAAAAATTAAGGAGTGGTCTATATATAGTGGAGAAAAGTTAGCTAAGGAAAATAGGAATATAGAAAAACAATTAATAAAAACTTATGAAGAAGCATTGTTCAAATATGAGGAAGATCAATACGATATAGAAAAAAGTCACAAGTTAATGCAGGCAAAACAAAATTTGAAAGATTTTCAAACGAATCAAGTAAAAGGAAACGCTATAAGGGCACGCATACAGTGGGCAGAATCGGGAGAAATCTCATCAAAGTATTTCTTCAATTTGGAGAAGTATCGAGGGAAATTGAAATTGATACAAGAAATTAAAAACGAAAGTGGAGAGATTGTGAGAGGTTTGAGAAACATACAAAAAGTACAACAATCTTTTTACCAAAAATTATACTCAAAAACACCAAATCTAGATGAAAATTCCCAAGATGATTTGATTTTGAAATTAAATAAAGAAGTTGATAGATTAGATAAGGAGGACATAGAACAACCAATTAAATTTGAAGAATTAGAAAACGCATTCAAAGGTATGAAATTAAACAAAGCGCCGGGCTCAGATGGTATTACAAAAAATTTTTATGCGAAATTCTGGAAAATATTTGGAAGTATATTGAAAATTGTTTTTGACAAAATAGTAATATCAGGACATATGTCAGAGTCAATGAAAACAGCTATTATCACCCTATTGTATAAAAAAGGAAATAAAAATGACCTGAATAATTGGCGACCTATATCGCTGTTAAACTTTGATTATAAGCTTTTGGCAAAAATTTTAGCTAACAGAATTAGAAACTTACTTCCAAAAATAATTCACTGTGACCAGACTGGTTTTATTCAGGGTCGTTCTATACATGAAAACATCTCATGTATTAGAGACGACATATTTTATGCTAACAGATTTGGAAAAGAATTAGTAGTGTTTTCAATAGACTGGGCCAAAGCCTATGATACTGTTGATAGAGAATTCCTTTTTAAAGTTATGAAGAAGTTTAATTTAGGTCCAAATTTTATCAATTATATAAGAATTTTATATACTAATACAAAAGCAAAAATATTAACAAATGGATATGTAGGAGAGAGTTTTGAAATGACACGTGGATTAAAACAAGGCTGTCCTCTGTCCCCATTTTTATACACTATGGTTGCGGAGGTTTTTGCAACTAATATTAGAGTAAATAGCAACATAATAGGTTTTAAGAACATTTCAGGGAATGAAGAAAAATACAAAGGGTTTGCGGATGATGCAACATTAACAGTTAGAGATTTAAAATCAGTTGGAGAGGCATTGAAAATAGTCGAAAAATTTGAAATAGCTGTAGGTACCAGGATAAATAAGGAAAAATCTCAAATATTGTTATGTGGAGATTGTCTTAAGATAAATGAAACACAGTTTCAAGGTATAGCATTAAAAAGGGATAGTTTATGTGTCCTTGGTGTCTGGATCGGCAACAATGACACGACGCAACAAAACTGGAATCCAATTATAGAAAAAATCAAAAGAGTAGTGAATATATGGAGAGCTCGAACTATGAGCATGCAAGGGAGAATACTGATTACTAAAAGTCTATTATTATCTAAATTGTGGTATCTTGCGGCTGTAATAACAATTCCAAATGAAATCATTAAAACAATTGAGACCCTAGTATGGGATTTTGTATGGAACAACAAACAACCCACGGTAGAGAGGAGAGTCTGCTGTGCAAGGAAAGTTGAAGGAGGTCTGAAGGCCATGGATCTGTGTAGTCAGATTAAAAGTCTACAAGTTAGATGGATTTGGAAATTATTAAAAAGTGATGAGGCTCCTTGGGCAAAGAGAGCGAAACAATTTATAAATAGATACCATCCTAAAATAACAGTGACAAATTTAGAAATACTACATCTCTCTTTGAAAATTTTAAGGAATAATAACATTCCTAAGTTTTATATAAATTCGGTCAACATATTCAAGGAACTTGATGTAAAAACGAAACAAATCACCACTAAACAACAAATATATGATCAATACATATGGTGGAATCCAGCCTTAACATGGTTGAATCAACCAGAATTTATAAATAATTGGATAAGAGGAAACATTTTAACATTTGGCCATCTGTTCCAATATGACTGTCTTGAAATAGCAATCAAAATTTGGGGCATAAACAAATGGAGTAGTATGCGTGAAAATAAAAAACTTGATTGTTATAGGAAAGTAGTAAAAGATTCTGTACAAATTTTAAAAGCCATACCATCAGGATGGGCTAATGTGTTGAATAGTCAAAGGTAATGTTCAAACAGATTCCAGTTCAATATATTCATTTGAAAAACTTCCAACCACGAAATATATGTATAATCAAATTATAAGTAAAAAGATAATGGAAGTGACAAAACAAAAAGGTTTATCAATTAAGGAATATTATGGACTGGAATTTGATATTGATTGGAATAACATTTGGGTTCATGGAATATCTAAAATTGTACAAGTTTTATGTTGGAAAATAATTCATATGGCATTACCTACTGGAAATAGAACAAGGCATTGGACAGAATATGATGATGGTCACTGTGTGTTGTGCAATATTAATATCATTGAAGACTGTAAACATCTATTTTTTGAATGCTATTATGTTAAAATATTTTGGGATTGGTGCGAGTTGCATTTTAGTGAAAATAATATTGATACCATTATTGCACAAAATACATGTGACCTGTCAGTTATTATGATAGTTGCATGTGGAAAGGCAGCTATTTGGGAATTCAGGAATCAATAATATTTGAAGATTTGGATAATTTCCAATCAGTTATGAGAATAATTTTTAAATGTAAAATTAGAGGGATGCTGAAAAATATGGCATCAAATATGAAAAATAGCTTTTTGGAGGATGGAAGAATTGAAAACTTGTTAGAAAAGTCGGTAATGTCATAGCTTTTGATAGTACATTTTTAAGATTGACTAGTATTGATAATATTGACTGTTTTTATATAAAAAAAAAAAAAAAAAAAAAAAAAAAAAAACGGAATGTCGCATTTTTACTCTGTATATCTTTATAGAAAGTACAATTTTAATATTATTAAAGTGGATATGAATTTATGAACGTCGGTAAGACGTTTTAGTCATTCGGCAAACCACTGCGTTTTGTTAGGATAAGTATCGTGCTACAACGAACTTCTGCATTGTAGTTTATGGTACCGTACGACAACAAAAGTCTGTTCCCTAACTTCTGAACTTAAAACCAAGCTACGATTTCTGAATGTTACGAATTATTGGAAGCAAAAGACAATTACTTGTTAAGTTAGATTTGATGACTTGAAGTGGTTGTTTCTAAATTTGCATATGCACATTTGTGTTTAAATTTTTTTAATTATGCAATATAGAAATTGTTTTGACTGCAGGATCAAAGGTTTTGCTTCCAATATTTGTCTAGTTTATATTTGCGTGTTTTATGTATGAAAAAGTTCAAAAGGATCTAGGCTATTTATGTTCATATTGCTTTTTCAGATATATGTAGCCTACATTTTTTAGAAATATGTTGGTGTAGTTTACCCTAATTGCAAACAAAATGGCTGAATCTAAAAGAATCCGCGAAATTGATGATGCTGATTTGGATTGTGAGCCGTCGACCTCTTCTAGTGGTGAAGGTCAATCAACATCTCAGATTGCATTACGAGCAGAAGAAGACAGAAATCTAGACTTTGCTCATAATGTTCAAAGTATAGTGAGACAATTAGAAAAACGAGGAACTATGGTCGCCCCAACACTCGTTTTCAAACAAGGTGTGAAAATATGCTAATATTTATTTTCAGTACATTTACTAAAGCTATACAATTTCTTTATTTACCGTATTTACTCAAAATTACGCCTATATCGAGAATAGGCTGACTCCCTTAAAACGGCGATTTTATGAAAAATCGCACATAAGCCGGTTCTACGAATCGTGACACGCCGGACGCCTCAAGAAAAACGTAAAAAGAGAACAAAATTATTGTAACGCAAACATTTCTCACGTTTATCATTTCTGCATGTTAGCGAGGGCCGTAGGTGGATTATTACCCGTAACTCTTACTTGTTAATTTATGTTAATGAAGTCTATATTGCTTTTCAATGCGTCGTGATTGTGTCGGGAGATTAAAATAGAGTTCCTGAATCAGCATAAAACAATTTCCTTTGATCGCCACAACGACGATTAATTTAGTTCCTTGTCCGTTTCAAGGAAAGAAATAACGCTGTATTAACACATTCTTATAAATCGCTACGAATCTTAACACGCCAGACGCCTTAAGAAAGGCGCAGAACGAAAATAAAATTGATGTAACACAAATATTTTTAACATTTATCATTTCTGTTTGTTAGCGACGGCCGTAGATTTTTACTCGTAACTCTTACTTGTAAATTCATGTTAATAAAGTCTATATTGCTTTTCATGTGTCGTGATTTGTATTAATGGAAGGGATTGTTGTCGGGAGTTTAAGAGAGTCCCTGAGTCAGCATAAAACAATTTCCTTTGATCGTCCACAACGCGGTTATTTTCGATAAGAGTCCTTATCACCGCCCCTTAACGGATAACATATCGTAAAGGTGATTAAAAGTGGCCCACCTTTAATTGCCACGAAAGTTTTCACCAAGAAACAACTGTAAATCGACACTGTTGCTGTCATGTAAAAGAAGCGCAAGCGAAAACAAACAATCACAGCCTGTACAAGCGTCACGTGTTAAACAACCAATCACAGACTGTACAAGCCATCAGCTTGAAATTAATTACCGGAATTACCGGCAAGTCAGCATAATATCATCTCGTTGCGTGATCAAATTCTGTACGCGAATGAGTCGATTTTTTGGTGCAATCTGAGTTATGCGAGAATGAGACGGTCCCTTAGTTGGGCAACTTTTTTTTTTGGGTTTTAAACTCGGCCTATTCGCGAGCATATACGGTAAATATAATTCATTTATAGAAAATAATTAGAATTCTACTCAACATATGGTTTTTGGGCCTAATAGTGGAGTCATATTCGTTTTCAAGCATTTAAAAAATGGATAAAATATTCTGCCAAATATTCAGAACTGGTCAACTTCAGTAACCTGGTAATTCATCCACTAGTAGGATCTATATGGCATAACTGGTAGAAATAAGTTATTCTCAAGTTCCAGTGTCACTGCTGCTAATTTCGTTTCGAGGCTGAGTTCAAATTTAGGGTTTTCATATTTTACTTTCACATAAGCATGGCTCAACATCAGTATAATAATAATTGCATTTTTTTTTCAATAAATAAGAAATGCCCATGCCAGTATTATTAAATCACAGGTGACACTATAGGAACCAATATTTCTGGAAGTTCTGGTTTTAAGCTTCAACAAAGCAGCAACATATTAGGCAGCACTTCACCAACATATGAACAGGCAGCCAGGCCTACTGATGCAGAAGAGCATGGCACAGCAGGAGAAACACCCTTCCATTTTAAAGGTAGGTTGACTGTTATAATTTTTATCACAAGGTGGTTTTCCTAACTCATGGATGGTCGTGATTTCTTAAGGATGTTCCAAAAGGATTGACTTTTCTTTGAAGACTTGACTTTGAAGTTGTTGTATCTACAGTAAATTATGAATATTAACAGGAATATAAGATAATAGAAGACATGGAAATAGAAAGTTCGCGTGTTCGAATCCCATGCAGGAATAGATATGTGCGAGAGGACTGCTGTACTCCGCGCCGTCGTATGGTGGTTCACATGACCAGCGATTATGGCTTCCTCCTCCATCAAATCCATGCTTCTCTAAACAAATAACCAACTAATTCAATCAGTGGCGCAGCCAGGGGGGGGGGGTTTCGGGGTCGAAACCCCCCCCCCCCCTTTTGAATTTTCTGAAAAGTGAAAAAGTTGCCGATAACACGTGCAATTGCCTTCTGCTAAAATCGCCGTTCCTTTTCATCAACGCGGCATGTTATTTATGCCGTGAACGCCCTTTACATTGGTGTTTATTCTCTTTAAATCACAAATTTGTGCCGCGGGAACAATGATAATTATTTTATTTTTGTACCCGCACGGGAATGTGAAAACTGAAAAAGCGTGCAATTTCCTTCTGCTAAAATCGCCCATGTTTTCATCAGCTTGTTATTTAGGCCGTAAACGCCCTTACGTCGGTTTTTATTCTTCCTAAATCATAAATTTGTGCCACGATAAACATGATAATTATTTTATTTTTGTACTTTGCACGGAACTGTGAATTCGTGAGGTATTTATTATACACGTTCATCGGTGGCGAGGTTCTAAAGACAAAAGAAGGAGTAAAACCGCGATCTAAATTTGATTGAAAAGCGGCATTATAAAATACTGAAAATAAAACCGTAAACAATATAAGGTTTGTTGAGTCCGGTGACAGTCTAAAAACGCTTTTCTAGTCGCAAAATCGCAAAATTTCGTTTGCCTACGGCGCACATTATGTTTGGTCGCCGTTTAGGATTATACCGTCACTAAAATCGAAACACGGTTAATTGTGGGTGGGATTTGCCTTTTATCCATTACTTTAAAATTGTCGTAGAAAATTTTCGTGTTATCATTAAACAATGTTGAAAATGCGATTTTTCCCCGGTTTGTGATGATATATAAGATAATTAATCAGAGGTATATCCATCAATTTTTATTGTACTGAAATAAATTTTACTCCATGAGAATTTACAGCAGATTTACGGATTTTTCAGGAGGTTTTATCTTTAAAAATAATCGGAGTGTCAGCATTGTGATTGAACGGAGTCAATGTTACAAGCACATCTCAAATTTGTCAAATTTGCAAAATAGAAAAAATACGGATCAAAACAATATATGATAGGCGACGGCAGTTGCCACAAATTTTTATGTCGGCAAATGGCCGAGGTATTTTAAAATTGTGAATTGTAAAGAATTGTTTTGTTTTGTCGACGCAAACTCTGGTTAAATTGAAGACAAATAAATTAATAAAGCAGGAAATTTTAAATATGCCCTTATCGGTCACGAATTGATTACTTTGCACAACAGAAAAATCATTTTTCGTTGTAAAGGTCGGCTCTTTTAACAAGTGGCGTAATCGCGGCGATGAATGGTATGTATTTTTTATTTAACGATTTACTTCATATGCATTTTCATTGTACGAAATAAAATTGTACTTTTAGGGATTTTATATCAGTTATTGAGATTTTTCTAACGACGATAACGAGTTGGCAAGATTACAAAAATACGTATTAAAATTAAATACACCGTTTATCTCATATTTTTATGTCCACCGATCGCCGTGGCATTTCAGAGGAATAATGTTTTAATTTTGACGTAAGAAGAAGCAACCGCGAGTTACGTTGGCACAATTAAACTAATATATAAAGACATTTTAGAATTTTGTAGTTGTCAGAGATTGAATATTTCACGCGACAAGAATAATCATTATGCACTGAAAAGACGTCCCTTTAACGAGCGCGTAATGCGAAGACTGTTACAGACCGCAATGGGAATTTATGATTATGAAACACCCCCCTCCTTTTGAAAATTCTGGCTGCGCGCCTGAATTCAATACCCGACCTGGACTGGTAACCGGATGAGGCGCTGTGGTTCGCCATATAATTAAGTTGGCTTTCTTCTCCCCCTGGATAATTATGTTAATTCTATACTAAATCCCATTCTGTATTTTATAGATTCAATTTGCCTCGATCATAACCTGTACCTGCTTTATAATGAAAAACTAGCAAAGTATGGCGAAGTTTACAGAGGCTTGCAGACTCATAAAGGTTCTCGAGGATTCGATCCAATCGCCATAAAATCTATCAAACTCAGCGATGAAAATAGGAAAGAAGTGGAAATCATCCGAAAGCTTCGTTCCCACCCAAATGTGATAACTGTCCTCCAATCTGGGACTTATTTTTTTGGTCCAAAAGAACATTTATTCATCGCAATGGAATACTTTAAATCTAAAACCTTGACAGACTTTGTCAAAGACGATCCAAAGCCTAAGACTGACGAAGTCAAACATAAACAAATAGAACAATTTGTTGAAGCTGTCGATCATATCCACATTAACGAAGTTCTACATCGCGATCTTAAACCAGATAATATCTTGGTATCGGACAATGGGAGAATTCTCAAAATAATTGACTTTGGTTTGGGAAAACAGTTAAGAAAAGGACATTTTGTAACCAAAATGAGCACTTTACGTGTTGGCACTGATGGTTGGAGGGCCCCGGAAATATACCTTTCTGACCTTTGTTCTAAACAATCGGACATATTCTCTTCTGCACTCGTAATCCATTTCATATCGACCGATGGTTCCCACCCATTCGGTAATGACCCAGATTCATGGAATCTCAATATCAAACGATATCAAGGATGTGACCTGAGCAAACTAGAAGGGGACCTAGAGGATTTGGTTGGTTGGATGCTCAGATTCCGACCACAGGATCGTCCAAATATCGAACAAATTCGAAAACATAAATACTTTCATGGTCAACTTGTTTGCCCTCATCCCAAACTGAGTAAGTAGAAAGGTTCTATAGTTTTTAATGAAATATTTCTTTAATCAAAAATTCGGATAATTGATTGAACACGGTATATTCCACCTTAGTAGAAAATTTTGAACTCAGTCAGAAACAAAGTTTATTGCAAGACTTTTTTATGAAATTATCATTTAATAAAGTCTAGGTTTCATATTTTCCCCAAAGCCTAGCTTAAATCATACCTGACATATTGTGATAATACCCAAGATGTTTGCTTTATATAACATTCAGGAACATTTTTGCTTTGTTTATTCAATCAATTTTGCTCTGTGGTTTTTATTATTCTGTCTAAATGAAACCAATACTTTTAGGTTCTGTAGTACGAAGCGCTCCAGAGAAGGAAGTTGTAAAAGTCAAAGAAGAGTTTGAAGAAAGAATGAAGCAAATGGAATTAAAAAATGAACAAGAAAAGAGGGATGCGGAGAGAATGCGGAGAGAGCACGAAAAGGAAATGAAGCGGGTGCAAGAAGAAAAGAGGAAAATGAAAATTGAGATTGAAAAGCTCAAAACTGGAAAGAAAGGTTTTTTAGATTTCTAAATTGTTATTGGTAATTGCCGGCTTATGCAGAAGAGACTGCTAATTGGCTTGGTGGTGTGGCTAAGCATTAGGAATACGCTCACCTTCACATCTCTGATTATCATGCATGGGTTCGCAGGATCGAATTCCTTGCGAGTTAATTATGTGCAATAAGATTGCTGGACTCCTTGTAGGGTGGTTCTCGTAACCGCTGTTTGGGTACACCATCAAGTCCATGCATCTGAAAATGAATAGCTGGCTGAAAACTAATTCCATACCCAACATGGACTGTTAACCGGACGAGCGGTCATGGTTTGTCATATGATTAGGTCGTCTCATTCACTTTCCTCTCCCGCATGTTGAATATATAAATCTTATTCTACCATACCATACTAGCCATATTTTTCTCGTTACTAATTTTCCATCAAAACCATGAAACTGCGGTTTGTCTAGTATCCCAATTCCCAGCTTGGGGTCTTTAGTTGAACATTTACTGTCATGAGTGTTTTGAAAAAGTTAGTCAATATCAATAATTTTCACTCTTTTTTTAGATTTTGCTCAGCCTTCCAATATCTCTGCAACAAACCAGCTTGCTGTTTCCACTAGTGCAAACAAGTCCATTTCTCAAAAGACTGCTGAAGTCAAGTGTCAAGGTAAATTTTGTTGAGAAATTTCTCCTGTTAATAATTATTTTCAAATTGGTCAAATCTAAATCCATTTATTTTATTACAGCATACCTTTGAGGATCATATCTAAAACACAAAAGAGTGAAAATACAACTAAACACAGTAAATGTAAATCTGAATATGAATTTGTGTATTATCATACCTTGGCTTTTAAACTTCTATATTACAGGCATTTCCTGTGACTTTATGAATACCAAACAGTATTTCTGCTATACGTTTTGATTTTATCAATCCAAGTGCAGAATCTCAGTCTTCAAGTTAAAAATCAAAGCTCTAAATCGGGTTGGGCAATTACTTTCCTGGGCCGGAGTGGGCCAGTTCTAGATAATAGACTTGCTTACTGGGCCGAAGGCTCAATATAAAACTATAAATAAAAACAGTTTATTGCATTTCGATAATAAAAAAGTGAATCCGCAACCACAAGTGACAATGTAAAATATCAAAAAATAAAACAGGGAAACACCATAGGTTTTGTTTTAGGAGGCACGCAACAGACTAAAAATGCTGTTAAGACTGTGTAAATCGCAAAATTTACGGCACACGTTATATTGGGTTGCCTTTGAAAATTTTACGTTTTATCTGGGAGTATGAATTAAAACAAGATATAATCGGACACATTGCTAAAAAATTTTACGACATTGGCATTTTGGAGCAGTAATGCTTTCATTCTCAATCAATGGAACAGCAGGTTACATTGAAGTCAATTAAAAAAAAAAGAAACACATTTTAAATTTGCCCATATCAGCTATGGATTGAATTGCGCATTGTACTCTTCGGGATTTTAACGCAGTCACTGGGATTTTTCCAATGGACGATATTCTAAAAATAATCATAAGTGCCAAATGAATAGCTCAAAGTTGACAAATCCCAAGGTCGCAAAAATCCGAATCCAATTTATTTATAATCCGGTCAATAGTTTATCGCGTATTTCATGTATATTTTACCTAAGTCGACACAATGAACATAATCAAAATAATATGGCAAGACATTTTAAATGCCTGTATCAGCCACAGATTGAATATTTTGCGCAACAGAAAAATCATAATCCACAAAGTCTGTTTTAAAGAGTGTCGCAATCGCAGCACTTGTTTTAGAGTCGTTGCGTGGGAATTTTTGATCCCCGATTTTTTGGAACCCCCCCTTTTAAAAGTCCTGGATACGCCCACGTAGAAGCTGCTGTGCTGATTTGTGCCAGAGGAAACACTCCTGCCGGCCGGATCCGGCCTACGGGCCGTAATTTACCCATCATTGCTCTAAATCAAGTGCAGTTGCACTATTTATTAATGCACTCCACAAAAAGTCTTTCAATATTATAGGTATATTAACCAGCCAAATACTCCTTTTATTATATTTTGTCTAATTTTTTTGATACATTTCTTTACATGAAAGGATAGCCATTGATATGTTAAAAGGCACTTTATTCAAAAAAAAAAAAGTTTTTCCCTGTGAGGCATTGCCTATCCAATTTATTACACACTTTGACATGAGGGGGAAACAGGGTTTGAACCTGAGATGTGTAATCTGTAAAGCTTGCAGGTAAGTCTAGGGCGTTAACCACTAGACCAGGGATTCCGAAGCTTTTTTCAGGACGACCCCAAAGACAACTTTTATGTGTCCAGTGCAACCCCATTTCAATATATATATATTTTTCATGAAACGTTAGAGCAGTGGTTCTCAACCGGGGGTTGTAGGCCCCCAAGGGGGTCACGAATCATCTCAAGGGGGGCCACGACACAAGGCTAAAAATTGACCACAAAACGACTTCGTTTGCATACTTCCCTTTTAAAATAAAATTCTCTGTTCATGCGGTATTTGCGATCGCAGGGTGTATTCACTTTCTTGTGTGTGAATTGTTTGATCATAATGGAACTCGGAATCTACCAATCAAAATAGTTTGCCGGTAGGCCGTCTAACCTGTAAACGGGCAGTTTCACTAGACAGTGAGATAACTGTCGCTATCAAATTATAGACGCAAAACCCATTTGTAAATTTCCCGTGCCCAAAATACGAAAATGGCACGACAGTTACGTTGAATTTGGCTTGACCAAAGTAAATCGAGATGTGAGAAAATGTGCGCAATGCTTGCATTGCTCGTGTGTAATTAGGGTGACAGCACATTTGAACCCATATATTTGCACCCGTATAACCGCGGGTTCAGTCTACATGCGAATGCTAAAATTCATGGGTTAGGGTTAGTATGGGTTCAAATATCTGTAGATGCAATAGCATGCAGATGGAAATGTTTACGGGTTCAAATGTACGTGGATTCACATGTAATGGAACCGTAATTAACAATGAACGATTACTTCCATCTAACTCCAAAACCACCATGACAAAAATCATCCACATGCGTAAGAGATTGATATTGGTTTCTTGGATGTCAAGCGAGTTAAATTGACAAGACATTGTCCAAGTCCGGTTTTATCAGAGGAAAAGCCCGCTCTTGAAAGCAGCTATGAAGTAGCATATCAGATTCTTACCCACTAATTAGTGAGAAAGCTCATTCACTTCTAGTTCAATTTGCCGAGTTCAATGTTAATAGTGATATTTGTTTGGCTAGGTATTTAAAAGACTTCCCATTGATTGTATACTAAAAAGCATTTACTTTCTTGTCTGTGGTTTGCTTTTGCATTCCATAAAAGATCGTAAAAATACAATACAATCCAACACGTTTAGTTTTTTTGGATGGCGAACAGGGGGTCCACGAGTGCAAAATGGCGCCGGAATGGGGCCACGTCATGTGGTGGTATTAAGTAAAATAATCTAAAACCAAACAGTGATGTCACAATAAGCACCTACATTTTTATTAGCATGAGCATAGAGCGATGCCTATGGGCCTGTTTTACTGTAAGCCACGGTACAAACTGCTAAATTTAACATGGTTTGTAAAATCTTAGATGTTCTGTACATCCTCTACCATACCTTGGCGACCCCGCCGACCCCATGACCTGTTTGCGACCCTACCTACTTATCACTCTGTGGGGTCGCGACCCCTGGTTTGGGAAACCCTGCACTAGACCATGGCATTGCCCAAAACTCAAATAACCACACAATAGCTTAATCACATCTAGGTACCATAATTTTCATTACATATCATGGTATATTTTACACATCATTAAACCTCTCAATCACAAGCATTTTTTGCTGAAATAAGATCAAACATTATTTTTGCTACAAGTTTTGATTTTATTTTTATCCAGTTGCAGAATCTCAGTCTTCCAGTCAAACTACCTCTGGTCCAAGAATCATCAACCAACAACCATCTGGTGGGAAGATGACAGTGGATCGGTTGCCTGATTCACTGCCAGGATACGAAAGATGGGCGACTCTTGTCATCACCTACTCATTTTCTATTGGACGTCTGATGGTGAGTTTTGAAATAAATTCAGTTGGCCGAATAATAATTATGTATTTACTGGTATCAAGGACAAATTCAGGAAGGTTCATGTTTATGATATTAATATATTGAGTTGTTTGCAAATATATATTTGTGATCAATTGTTATGAACCAAAAAAACATACCGCTATATTACAATTTACATGACTTGAACAGAGTTTTGATGAAAAACTCCTTTGATTTCATAAATTCCCGAAAATGACCCAAATACTTGCGAAGACACCCTTATAAGCAGTACTGCCATTTTTTTGTAAAGAGTATTGATAGATGTTTCATTCACGCACATGGGTTATTGTTTTTCATAGAACTTGAGTGGGACATTCATATATTCATGTTGGGAAAAAAGCCCATATGGTGGACTAATCATCGGCAAACTGTGGCCTCTGCTGGTTTCGAGTTTATGTTTGGTCTAGCAATGGTTATGATTAGCCTGTTATTTGTTAAGAAACGTAAAAAGTTGATGAATCATAAAGTTGATGGTATATGAAGTCATAACTAACAAGCGGTTATTTGAAACCCCGCAATGGCGGGGAATCCAGCCGTTTTTTCGCACACAGGGTTAGGACCTTAACCTTTATCACAACGATCTAATCGTCATGCTTTTCCATCTTAAACAGTAATTTATTATATATAGATTGTCCTTTTATTATGTTGAAACTTGAGTAATAATTAATTGAAACTGGGTTTGCTATATAATTTAGCAATGTAAAAATTTAAAGCTTTCGAAAAATCGATATTGAGAAATAGGTCAAATAAAGTAGCTACTTGCGCACTAAAATTGTAACATCCGTAGCAGTAAATCAATAGGTTTATTCCTTTATAACAATTCCGAATATGTACTACTTTACTTACGGTATATGATATCCAGAATGTTTCGAATCAACATGATATTAAAGAATAAATTTTATTTGTGTAGAGCCATTTTGTAAGTTTGGACCCATTCTTTTCTGCAACACCTTTGAATTCTAAAATTTTGTCAGGTCAGAATAATAATATTGGGAAAAAAAGGCCAAGTAGTTTGAAAACGATTTTCCTTGACTGGTAATTCTTCGTAGTTATTCTCTTATTTATATCAGTTTAATCCAATCCTCGGGTATGAGAGATAACTAGTTATGATTGTTTTTTCAGGGGGTTTCATATGAAGCAAAAGGATTCACTGAATATTTGCCAGATACTCATGATGGGTGGATATGTGGCGAATTACTCAAACAAGCATTCAATGCAGGATTGATTTTCAAGATTCAGGAAGTTGGTGACAGAAGAGGAAAAATTCTTTGGAACGATGAGTTTCTTCATAAGACTAATATAACTGGAGGACCTGAGAAGTAAGAACTTTGTGTGATTCATACTTTATAAAATGCTGGAAACCTGAATAGAACAGAATAAATTTTAAATTTCAGTTTCATTGCGTATCACACACAATTCAGTTTTTACGAAATCATGATTTTATAGCTACATCATTATCATAAAAGCCAAATTGTGCTTATGAATTATGGATATGGAAAAAAATTAAAACTAACCAGTCAATCATTATGCCCACAACTCTGGTGTTTTTATGAAATAGATTCAA